ATGTATGTATGTATGTATGTATGTATGTGTGTGTTTGAGTGTGTGTGTGTGTGTGTGTGTGTGTGTGTGTTGTGTTTTTAAATGTACCAGTTCAAAGTTCAAAGTACGGGGTATAAGAATACTACGCTTTGTGTTCCATTATTCACGCGTGTCTGTCATTACTACTGTGGAAAAATGACAATGTGCCGAGAAAATAGGTCATCGTACATGATGTGGTGAATACTGCCGTCCTTTTTAAAAGTACAGTTCACGTAGTTTTTACAATTTTACAGGAGAGCCAAAATTGAATGCTGTTAACGAGAAAACGAACTCTTTGCAATTATATCCCAAGTCAATATTTTTAAAAACAATTTTGAAAATCACTCCCTTATTATTTTCTAATACAAATGTAGTTTCCGTGGTATCAACTTTCAGTTTTATGGCTCTCCCGTAAAATTGTAAAAACTGCATATTACATTATACTGTGCTTTAAAAATTGGCGGCACAATAGATCCAGCATTCCTCGCCTAAAGAATGAAATTTCAGCTTTGGTATATGGTGTTGGCCAATAGATTCCGCATTGTTTTGAAGCTCTATTTTTTAGCCTTGCTGTGTGGTTTTCTCCTTCTGCTTCTTTAAGACTGCCACTATTGGCTGTGAATTACTATTTCTGATTGTTTGGGAGGGTGTTCGTTTATTTTTTCGCTCTTTTTTTTCGCATCTTGCCCATTTCGGTTTTGTTTGTTGCTTTTTTCGCAATCATCTTGAATTCGTGTTTAGTCGCCCAATGGCATGTGTTCCAGTAGAGTGATAGCCTTCTAACCTTCTCCGAACGACTTGAATTCGCGAGTTTCTTTTGAAATAGTGAAAATCAAGTCACCGACTCTTTTTTTTTATTGGAGGCGGACGTCGAAACGGAATTCGTTCCTTGTTTATAACCTTTCTGCTCCGAAAGATGTGTTAAAACCGCACCATAGTTTCCTCACGAAAGACAGACACTCAAAAGATGCTCGACACGGCTCTCAACAGGAAGGGGTGGGGGTGGGGGTCATTTTTTGTAACAGGTATGGGAATTCAATAGAGGACTCCAATGGGGTATGGCAGCAGGGAATATGCTACTATGTTTCAAACTCCAGAAACCTATGTAGCTGTATGTTCAAGATGAATGTTACGCAACTGCATTATAGATTATTTCATTGTTTCAATGCATATCTTCGGTCATAGGGAAGGGTGGGGGTATAAATATTGGTGTGGGGGGGGGGGCAATCTGTGAGCCCTTGCAACCTGATATTACAATTCTGTAGTTCTCAAGTATGATGAGTTTGCTTGATGTTTTGCCCCTTTCAACACATTGCAGTCAAATTGAGAGGATACTTTTATGAATTTACACTCGGAAAAGCTAACATCGACTCACTTTACTGTGCTGGTTGAACCAGAACCGAAACCTTACGTTTTGTGGCTTCTGTAAATGGCACCGCTGTGTCATTCTAGGGCACCTGATTCATACTTTTTTTGAGTAAGTTAAAGAAGCAGTTCATGTTTTGTTTTGGGTTTTTTTGTTGTTGTTTTTTATTTGGTCACTTTGATTTGTTTGTTTTAACTACGTGCTATAGAGTTATAGACGTTATACTCTATTATCCTCAAATAGATTACATACCTTACTACACACTAACACACACACACACACACACACACACACACACACACATATATATATATATATATATAGATAGATAGATAGATACACTCACACACACACACGCACACACAGACGCACGCGCGCTCTCCCCTGCCCTATCACGTATGCACGCAGACTCTAACCTAAATGTATCTTTACATGATATGATTGAATCTTTACTGTTTTCATCCTGCTCATGTGGATGGTTGGTGGGTGCTTTGGTATGGTTTGCCTTTTCTGTTCTATCGTGCATCTAACGTCATCGTCTTTTCTCCTTTTTTTCTTCTCTTTCTTTTCTTTTCTTTTTTTTTTGTTGTTGTTGTTGTTTGTTTCGTTTTGTATATTTCTCTCTAGTGACTCCTCTACTTACCATTGGCACTTATATGATCTAATTGTGTTGCTAGTGCCATTAAAAAACTTAACTAAAATCAAGCTAAAACTCAAAAACTCAAATGCACCTGGCATCACAGTATATTAGAATCTTTTTAAAAAATTTTTTTTATCCTGCTCATTGTTTTGTTTTGTCTTATTTTTTTTCCCCTGTACAGGAGGTGCTGCTTCAACTACATAAATACGATGAGATGGACTGCCTGCTCAAGGGTATCCACTACATCGATCGTTACAACCCTTTCTCAGAATGCTATTTCTTCCGCAACCCTCGGGACACAGAACTGTGCAAGAAAATGCCTTTTGACTTCCGTAACCCTTACCCTTACCTGGTGGTCAATATAGGGTCAGGGGTGAGCATTTTGGCCGTCCGCTCAAAGACAGACTACAGTCGAGTTAGTGGGACCAGGTAAGAAACTTGTTTCTTTGTAATAATGATGATGATTATAAAAATGATGATGATGATGATAATGATGATAATTTTAAAATGATGATGATGATGATGAATAGCATTTGTGTAGCGCTTATCTGTGCTCAACAGCAAGCTCTATGCATTTTACAATCTATATTATTACCGCAGCAGACCCTAGGACACTCAAAAACATTCTCGGCTTCTTGAGAGGCATACTGTGCAAGCAGCCAATTAAGTGCTCAAAGACTAAGAAACTGACATCTTTAGCTGTGTATAGCCGGAAGCCATGCCCATCTGGGTGAAGTGAAGAAAATGTGTTTAAAGTGCCTTTCCCAAGGTCACTAGGTCTCTGATAGGGTATGAACCCACAACTTTCGGTTGCGAGCCCAACAGTATTGGCGAGGGCTTGGAGCGCTTTGGTCGTGGAATTTACGTCACAGTCAGAATGATGGGTGATAATTGTGTATGCACTTTCAAAACACTAGAATATTGAATTCGCATGAGGCAAGCACCTTGTTTAATCTCACTTAAGGAGCAAAATTCATCCACGCAGTCCGACTTTAGCTTGGAAGTCGTAGGTTGCGAACCCTTGTCTTATGATGTACTTTGTTTTCAATTCTAAAGTTTATTACTGGATAGTTTAGATAATATTTTCATAGTTTTTTGTACTTATGACACTTTTTGTGTCATTAAAGATTACTTTTGAAATTAGCATGTGGCTGTGACAAAAGTGAGGGATGCTGCTTTGTAGTGATGCCTGACATCACAGTTTTTCTGTTGTTTGAAGGACCTTTGAAGTCTATCTCAGAGTCCCCAACAAGGAAATGCTTTTACATTGACGATATTGCTGTTTCTGGCACGAAATGTGAACTCAACACTGTTTGGCTCGGTGTTTTGGAATGATCTCTTGCGCGAGTGACACGTCAATCCCTTTCTTAAATCTGAGTTTTAAAAGAAGTTTCTAATTGGTACATGTTTTCTTGATAATAGTAATACATGACATTTGTGTAGCGCATTCCCATGATTTACAATGCTCAGTGCGCTTTACAAGATACTTTAAAATAGCTAACTATAGCATAAAGATACATGCAGCATTCTTACTTACAGTTCTTTAGGTGACACGTATATGGCCTATTGGATCCAAATGTTTAGCATATTGCTATTTTCCAAAATTGAGTTGTTCATGCTTTCATGTACCTGTGCAGATTGTATTTGAAAAACTCCTTTAAAAAATAAAGCTTACTGAATTCGAAAATGCTTAACCTATGGCACTTCCAACTCTTGAAGAAGGCATAAAAAGGTAGAGTGAAACTTAACTGAATATTGTTATGGACTGCGACTTTTAAAAGAAGAAACTGGCAAAGACCAAAATTTCCAGTCAAAATGCGTGACGTTCAAGATTGAGCCCAGCCAGTTAATTTGGGCTCCAGCGTATATCACGAATTTGCCACATGGTAGATATCGGGCTAATATAGGTCACACATACACACACACACCCATACACACAGACGTACCCAAACACACACGCTCACACACACGTATTCTCTATGACCTTTAAAGGCTCTTCTATAATAGTATTATCGGAGTCCTGTCAGAATGCTGATTATGTATCTCTAGCTTGAAATCCCGCGGCGCGCGCGCGCGTGCGTGCGTGCGTGCGTGTGTGTGTGTGTGTGTGTGTGTGTGTGTGTGCGTGTGTGGATATAATGTGTTGTATTTTTCTACGCATTTGTATTTATGTATATAACTAATTACATGTTATGTAAAAAGGATTCATTTGTTTCATCACCCCCGCTTTGTAAAACTACACAACTTCATTTGTCTGAAAAGTCGATTATACAATCTTACAGTTACGATAAAAGGCTCAGCGTGTTTGATCCGAATAGGCAGCACCGTTCAGTCTGTTTCCTCCGCAGTTCATGTATTCACGCGGTGAACCTGTGACTCAACCCTGTGACATCATCTGTTGCGGGGCAAAGTACAACTCTCTCTCTCTCTCTCTCTCTCTCTCTCTCTCTCTC